TCTCGTTCATAATTCCACGTTAATTAATGCCTTTCTTTAAGGTTTGTTCCATGTGTTAGTCTCTGTATATCCAGTTTCTTTTTCAGTTTACAGAATGTGATATCTGGATTTTAGAAAAGCCAACATTTATCAAGATATTTTGATAACACCAGATCGGTCCCAATGTCCTCTACTCAGCAAAATCGCCGTTGACATCTCAATTAAATACTCCAAACTATTTAATGGTTGTGTTCCGTTTTTTTCCCTTTGCTACCGTGAAGAGCTATCCAGGCATCATCTTCCAGATGTAGGCGGTTTCATTCATACCATGCCCACACGGATGATTATAAATAAACGCGCTATAAAGTGAAGTTCCGGTGGTAGATAACGTCCACGCGGCTCTCCTTCCATCTATTTTGTCCAGACGTTGCTTTTATATTCCCTGTAAATTGTGCTTGACATGCTCAATTTGATCGAAGAAAGAAATATTGTACCCTGGAGTGGCTCCACTTCATGCTCCCTTAGTGCCTGGGCGGTGACATTTCCATACTTCAAACAATATTGCCCGGCACTGGCCTCAAATTCCGTATTGATTGGGCGATGTCGTTCCCTCTCCAACTTCTCCATAGTAAGGACTCAACAAGCCTGTTGCCATCCTGTAAGTTGATGGGTGGAACAGTGACTTCCTTGACTTTTCCACCTAAGGATTGGCTAGCACAAAGACATGAATTCGGTTAGAGTGTACTATCCAATACGTCTGTGATGATAGAGCAAATGCATTTTTTATGGATTCTGGGTTGATCGACGGTGGCTTCGTAACTTTCTGTTTGCAAGAAACTGTGCCATTGTGTTCGTATCCATTAGATCATTAGCTTAGCTGGATCTAAATGCCAATAAGGGCTATATCTTACACTTTAGTACAACCCAATAGAAGACTTCCAAACTACCGTCTGCAGACATTGCCTTCTTGGCCCCGAGTGAGCCAACATTATGACGACTGACCTGTTAATTTGCCTACCTGTTACGTAGCCTTGCCGATGAAGCATTTCAGTAAACCGCTGAGCTTTTGTTGCCATGCTTTTAAGTTTCGTCCGTAGTGATAAACATGGTGAGCAATCTAAGTGCATCTGAGTCGATTTTTCTACAAAGTGGTCCGACAATTGCTTTGGCAAGTGTGGATCTACCGAATAATATCCGAAGTCGCCGGCCCCGCCGGCGGCATCTCACGCACCACCTCCATTGACTGACTTTCTCCCCATGTGTACAGTACGCAACTTCACGTCAAGGCTGCGTTGTCTATGAAGCGATGTCATCGCGTTTTTAACATGAGAGACACTATTGCAGCTGGTCGACACAATGATACCTCCAGACATTTGAAACAAGCCGAAGCACGTCTATAAGCACTTTCATTTGTGCTGTATGAAGAATGCAGTGTTACCAGTAACCATGGGATTCTAATATAGCCGCATATACCATGTATATGCTATCCGATTGCTCGGTTGTGCAGACAGAATTTAAATTGTAGGTCAAAGTGCGGCGCTG